GTAGAAGTCAAAGTATAATTATAAGGAACCCGCTGTCGGATTCACCGAAAAATTTTGCACATAGCGCCCAATTTTTACCTAATTTGGTGCAGCGCGGAAAAAGTACATAATTTCTAATGCGAGAAATACGACTAGCTGGTGAATAACCATGCTTAGTGACTTTCTCAAGCCTTCAAACTAGTACCACTTTGTAACTGGTAGTGAGTTACTTACAGTCTTACACCCTTTTTAGCCTCACTTTTCCACTTTCTCTTCATTTGATCTCACCCTTTTTTTTCAAACAGAGGTAAAGTTTGGAAAAGAAAGCTTCTGTCAGACAGCGATTTTCCATAGCCACAATTGTCCTGCTGCACATTTTTGCTTGTCCACTTGAGTCCTGGTTTTTAGTCACTATTAGCGACCACTATTAGGATCATGCTAGTTAAAAGCAAACAACCTCAAAACATGCTAATTTCAAAATCTCTGTACGAGGGCAACGACTTTCGAGTCAAAATATGATAATAATTGCAGCTGTTTTGAACTTCATACCTTTATTTGTTGATATTTCGACCTTTACCCGGTCATTTTCAAAAATATAAACAGAATAAAATAACTGTACTACATTTGTACAGTTATTCTGTTTATGTTTTTGAAAATGACCGGGTAAAGGTCGAAATATCAACAAATAAAGGTATGAAGTTCAAAACGGATGCTAATTTCACTACTATGTTGTTGCATAGTACGCATGCAAGCGAGCAAAGTTCACCCTAAAGCTTTTTCCAGATCCACTATAATAAAAATATCACATTTCTGAATCAGTGTCAAAAAGGAATTTATATATCAAAAACTATTTTGTTTAATTTTTAAAACGGCTGGCCATTATTGAAAGTTGCGGGCCAACTGTTTCTGGCCGCTTTGCAAATTGACTGTTCGATCCTATACTGGCTGGCATATTGGCCAATAAAATTTTGGTGAATTTACAAACAGGCAATGAGACCGGGTCTATTCATAAACTGGTCGGCCATTTTATAAACAGATCACTTTTCCAAATTGGCCACAACATATATATGTATCCGCTGCAGCTAGTACAGAAGCGGCTTACCGGGTTTGTTCCGCTGTAGCTAACTACATCCTCTAAATTTTACTCATTTACCTAGCTGCAGTCCATAGAAAAACGGACGCTTCTTCAACAAGAGCAGCTAGCTTATTTCTTATGACGTTTCATGCTTGGGTTATTTTATCATTTTCATTCGTCAAACAAGCCTTAGCCTTTCAATGTAAGCGCGCACCATATTCTTAATCAGCATAAGAAACTGCATCGAATAGTATCTTATTTACTATTTTCTTGCTACTTTCAGTTTTCATGGAAAATTCGGTGGGATTTGCCATTAGGAAATTGTAAACATTTTTTCTCATGATTTTTCGCAAAAATCGTTCAGATACGTTTCAGGACCGCCATCGAGTTTTCTCGATATGAGCGATTGTGTCAAATTTAGCATTCTCCTGTCACCTGAGAAACGTTCTATCAAACACTACTGACGTAGGTAGCTTCGTAGGTTCCACACTTGATCTGTACTCATACTCATTCACTAATATGGAAAATATAGGAAATTCTATATTTACATCTAAATCTGTTGTTTTTATGTCCGCCTGCGTTGTGTGAACTGTAGATAAAGCTGTTCATATCAAAATTTGATGATTTTTTTCCAGAGAAGCGGTATTCAGAGTTTTATATTTTCGAATCAGCGTGAAGAGTTACGTTATACGGCGCAAAGATCTCGTCGGGGTAGACGCTATTTTGGATCTCAGGAGCTCCACTTAAGGCCCCCCCACCCCTCAAAAAAAGCATTTTTCGATAAAAAGATCGATTTGGGCATTTATGCATAGTTGTATAGCCCAATATATCTGCTTTCGAATGCACTATGATTTATTGGTTTTATGATGGTTTTGAGGGTTTTACTGAGGCACTCAACATCAAAAACTGATTGATTTGAGAAAAAGTACGTCGCACATGTCTCTACATGTGCTTATTCGATTCACCATAGCCGATAACCTACGACGAACTGCTCTCAGTTTTTTTCCTGTACCACTTGCCAAAAAAAAACCGCGATAATGAAAGGAGAAACTTGTTTTGCGTTTTTCTCGAAACTGTTTTTTTTGTTTTACCTGATTGAGCGTCAAAGATTTCTCCACCATTTTAAATGCTAGAAAGCTCGGGAATGTTTTAAAATGAAGCTAAAGCTCAGCACTACAACCTAACAAAGCGAAAATTTTTGTTTTCAATGTAGTCTTTTACAAAAAAATCAAGTTTTCTAAAAAGTAAAAGTAAGTTTTTTTAAAAATTTTCAAATTTAAAAAAACACTGGCTTTGTCAGGCTATAGGTGCAAGTCTTCCCTGCATTTTGACACCACCCGACGTCCGTATCATTAAAATTGCGAAAAAAAATTTTGACACACGAACACCTACTTTTTAACCCTTAATAATAGGATAACTCGCGCAAACCTCAATATTTTGAGCTCAATTTTTTACTGAAAACTATCCAAGGTCAGGTACATATTCAGTTAAAATCTCACTAAGATTGAGTGCTCTGGGAAAAAAATAGATTTTTGACGGGGGGCGGGCCCTTAAGAGGGATCCTCGCAAGGTGATATTTCGCTTTTTCACTGAAATCTAGTGGGTTATGGGTTATCGATCATGCTGATTTCGAATATGACCATGGGATTCCCCATAGCCATGCAAAGATCCGGTCTTCTCGAAAAGACCGGATCTTTTTCAGAAACTCTAGAAAATAATTTAAACATTTCTTAACAATACAAGATTGTAGCCCGCAAATTTCTGCTTAAAATGAGACATCCCCAGCTCTACATGACCTTTCTTTGCAAAGTTATAGAATTTATAAGAAGAGCCCTAGATTAACAAATCAACCCGCATGATCATATTCGGAATCAGCATAGTCAATCACCTATAACCCACTAAATTTCGATCGAAAAGAAAAATATCACCTCGCGAGGTTCCCTCGTTAGATTTCCACTTTACACAGTGGGCAACCATGTGGACATTAGGTGGAAAAACGAAAGTGGACTTTTGGCAAATTCAAATAGCAAGCCATATACTTGGGCAAACGCTGTATCTTTTTGCCATCGGAAGTTTTTTTCTAGATGTCAGAATCAGCGACAAAATCGCCATGTAAATTTTTGTCGGAAAACAGAGCGATTAAGTTAAAAACATTATTTTCGTCAAAACAAAGTACGATTTTCGCAAAACTTATACACCGTGATTTTCCCCGTTGATTTTTCAGGTAAAATCGAGATTATCTCCTTTTCGAAACACATTTATTCAACAATAATATCATATTCGGAGTTAGCGTGAAAAACTGCATCGAATGATATACAATTTACAGCAGTTTTGGGGAAAAAAATTCTAAGTTTCCATGAAGGGCTAAATTTGAGGCAGCACCATGGTACTTGTGGCCGGTGGTTTTATATCGTTAGAAAAGAGATCTGGATGCCTACAAATAATTGTTTTATAGGTTTCCGAGTACGGCTGATTCAACGGACTTGTTTAAAAATTCTAAACTGGTTTTACAAAGGTTTTCTATAGATCGTATCTCTGGAAAACCCTTAAAACATAAATTCTGAACTTTGTAAGGGATTCCATTAGAAAGAGTACACTCGAAAACCTACAAAAACATACCTGAGAAATCTTTCCAGCGCTCTAAAATCCAATGTGCACATGCCTAGCCAAAATTGCCTACTGTGCTTTATTCAACGGTATCGTTCACCTTCAAAAAATGCGAATTTTCTTGCGTTCTGCTTGAGGTGCCATAGTTCATTCTTTTTGGTCTTTTTTCCGTTTTATGCACATAGAGATCGATATCGAAGCGAAGAAAGTGGGAAAAGCATGAATTTTCATTCAAATATTCGGTGAGCTCACTATGAACTTACTCTGTATTCTATCCACTTAATAGAATAAAATAAAATTAACTGGATGTATTCCACTCCGTGTTTTATATCAGTTTGAAGTACACAAGCTGTACTGTATGCCAAACTACCTTTTAGAAAAGGGTACAGTCTGCTTTTTCGTCTAACTTCTTCTTGCTCATCATGCAGAGCAATAGCCGATATGAGATAAATTTAATGAAAACATTCAAGTTTAATTCTATATCATTAATGCTTGAAGGATTGGGTAAAAGCTATATGACCTTAAAGGATGTAGAATGTACGTGCAAAGTTAGAATGCAGGTACAGCAGGGGACACTATCATAGATCTCAGAGACGTAACTCAATGTAAAAAGCAGCGCCAGATTGTTTGGAAAAACATTTAATTGAAAAATTTCCCATTTTTATAGGGTTTCAAGTTTATAACTGTATCTCCTCAACCTTCTCCATATATGTGGGATATTTTAATTTGAAACCTTTCTTATCTGCTGGTGTCCTTTGCATTGTCATTTACACAAATAAGTGTTTTATGCGGTGTTTCATAAAAATCTGATAACTTATCGAAAATCAATCTAAGTCTCTTGAAAATATCAGGACATAATTAGGTGGGAACCTTTTATGAGTAGATAACTGAAAAAAATCATTAAAATAATATTGATGTTTACTAAGACGGTTCTCCAGATATCAAGATGGAAACTCAGCAAACAATCTAATTTTGCACAGAGCTAACAAATAAACTCTGCTCAGGCGACACTTCGAATTGAGAAAACAAAAACAGTTAAAGGTTATCTTTCGAGAAGTAACACGAAAGATTTTTAGAATCATGAGGCTCCAAAGTCTTTCAAAAACACACGCATTTTTTGTGAAAAGAATTTACCGATACAAGAAATGGTTAAGAGCTTTTATCGAAACTGCTCATTCCTACTGCATTCAGTACATAGGACACCCAGTTTCTACTCTCTCACAGCAAGTTAAATTGTTGTTTACAGGAAGGAATCGAATATCACTTGCATGATGTCGCTCCTCTCTTGAAAGTCGATTAATAACAACTGGCACAATCTCCATCCTTTCTTTAACGCGGCACTTGCAAATCCACTCAATCCACTATTACCAATGTCAGCCAGATTCATCAATGACTTTGGTTTATGGGGTAACAGCGAGTCAAAGATAGTCGATACTTGCGGAGTCAATGTCCAGCTTAGCTTGTACAGAGCAGAGGCGGGTAATGAAGGAAGAGAATTGAACATGAGGACTTGCTGCCAATTATATGAAGTCATATTAGCGAGCGAATCCGTGTTGGCATATGAGTTGATCATACTGGAACCATACCACAGCTGAGTGTAGTTCGATATAGTGGCATCGTCACTTAATGTGGCTACCACTCGTTGATTTGTTGCTATCATACCACTAATGGTAGTAGCATTGAAGTCATTAATACGTGGATATAGCATTGGATCGAATATGTTGATGACCATATCTCTCAATGAGTCCAAGTTTTTCTGTGTTAGGTTCGCACTGGCGAGATGTGATATCTCAATCACTATAATTTCACTTGGATGTGACAACAAGAACGAATTCAATGCACTGAGATGAGTGTAAATAGGTAGACCGAGTTCGAAATGATACGAACACCAATCAGTACCATTATAGGCAGCACGAATATCAAAATAGCGCATACCATCCTCTGCTTGCCCATATAAACTTCTACTTTGTGTCAATGCCCATGGTGTAATCACATCCTGTAAGGGTACTCCTAATTTTTCTGCCAGTTTTACAAGAGCATCTAGCACTGCATTTCCAGTAGGATCAGGTGACAGAGCTGATGTAAGAGTGAAGGATCCAGCATCATGTGTACCTGGTAAAGTAAGGTTGGATAAATGAAGATGAGAAATGTAAGGAAGGAGTTGTTGCATCCAAATACTGGTGTTGATAGATGTGCGAGAAGGAAGTTCATGAGTTTGTCGTAAGTCGATCAGGATGTCATCTTGGAGGGGATAAAGGGAGGTTGGCTGTAGATAATTGGTTACCAGTAATAACGATAATGTCAGTATTGAAAGGTGGGCAGTCATATTGAACACAACAAAAATGAGGTATTATTGATTCGTGCGCGTTTGCTTTTGGCACATTTTTAATATTGAAATAATGTAAATTCCGTTTAAAGATTCAGCATGCAGTCATTATTCTTCGTATAATACATGTTTTTTAAATTTCTGTGAAAAGATGGAAATAAAATGAATGTTTGTGAAAGCTGTTTACTGACTGCGTTATCAAAAAATGTGCTTTCTCCTCAGTGCACAGTATGTATGCATGAAAAAGAAACGTTTATCATCTCTACCTGTAAAACACATTGTTATCTATATTATTACGAATAGCAAAATAGAACAATAAAGGGTGTTCTATCAGAGCCCACCAATGGTTCATGAAAATTATTCAGAGAAAGAGACCTCCTGACTGACTTGGGGAATATTCCCAAGTGATACTTGTAACGAAATATGATCTCTCCTCCCACTGGATATTTATTATCAGTCTCTCCAACCATAATTCATCTCTCTCTTTTTCTTTGTTCATTTTTCCATCATCCTCCTGTTGTCCTCTGCATTATATATATTCATTGTACAGCATTCACATTTCAGTCTATTTTCAACTGAACTCAGTAAAGGATAGATTTTCTTTACAATAGTGAAGAAAGAGAAAAAGTTTAATTGAATAAACTTACAGACTCTAAAGTGTCTACAAGAAATACAGATGAACAGTCAAAATACGATAGTTCTATCAACAGATATGGTCCGATGTATCCACATGTAATCTGTATCGGCTGACATCGGTAATAGTGGATTGAGTGAATTTGCAAGTGTCGCGTTAAAGAAAGGATGAAGATCGTGTAATTTTTTTTCAGTGTTTTAATAGGAAAAGAAGACCTGATTTTGAGCCATTTTCACGCAGTTTTTTCAGTACAGAACGGACAAATTTTTATTGTCTGTTTTTTACGATACACGTATTTGTGTAAATGACAGTGCACAGGATACCAATAGATAAGAGGGTTTTTCGAGTTTATAACTGTATTTAACCTCTTCTGACAAAATTTTGCTTATGAAAACATGTCTCCAAGTCTCCTCGTTCGAATGGTGAAAACCGGAGCTCTTTAGCTACTTTCTATAGTGTTATCATGGCTTATCTCGATCCCAAAACCTGTTCAGAATAAGTATATAAAGTACTGAGGCTCTGTGATTCACACCATACACAAAGCACATATTTTTTGGATGACCATTGAGAGCAAAATGAGACCTTTGCGGGCTTTCCAGCGACTTTCTAGGCTGAGTTATTGATAAATCTCTTAAAGACTTTCGAGTCAGCCGGATCACTGAAAGTAAAATGGCCTTATCTCAGCCTAAAGACGCCCTAGACGGCTCCAGGGCGTCTCATTCTGCTCAGAATTTGACGCTTTGTCGATATGATGTGCTTGGGGCGAAAATTTCCAAAAGGCTACCACAATAGCAGTGCTCTAAGTGGAAATATCACTGAGTTATGGGCTCATCATCTGAAGGCTTTTTCGAAAAACTCTGTCAGTCTTTTCTTAATTTCTCCTGAAAGAAAAAACGTTTTGAAAAAAACGAAGCATACTTTTTGTGGAGCAAGGCAAGGCGAAACTTCTGGCGTGTGAAAGAATTCTCTAGCTCTCATGGCAAAAAGCTAGATAGCATTGCGTGGTGAGAACCTCAAGGTTCGAGCGATCAGTGTTTGATCAGCTACAAGAGTTTAAATCTGGAAGAAAAGTCATCGAATGACAAATGCCTATATGTGCTTCGCGATGCTGAAGCGAAAAATCGTATTAGTGAGATCGAAAAATGAAAAGATCAGGAGATAATCAGGATTTTTCTGAAAAATCGTTTTTTCGAGGTTTTTGATGCCGTCACAGTATTTTGGGGGTTTCTGCATGAAAACTCAATCAAATCGAAAAAATAAGGTTAGATTCGTGATCAGCAGCGTCCGACGAATCAGAATATATTTTTGAAAATTCAAAAGCTTTTCCACTTGATTTTTGAATTAGCGGCACCTTACAATTGGTGCAAAGGGAATGACCATTGAGAGAAGTCATTGTATTGTGATTACACACCTGGTGTACATGTTAGATGTAAAATAAACCATTGATACCACAAAACAATACCTCGATAACTATTATATGAATGCGAACTCTCAGCAATGTAAAGAGTTATATCTGTACCGTTGTTTCCCTGTTCTAAAAAAAACATTGTGTGTAAGCTGCCCATCCCCACCCCCAGAATAGAAGGCCATGGCCTTCTATTGTGGTTTCGCACATCGCACTTTTTAGGGAAGGAATCAATTGTATCAATATGGGATACATGCATAAAAACTCCTTTTGCATTATCCTTGTTTTATACAAAATAGATTTTGCCGTTTTCGGCCTTTTTCTGGAATCTCTTTCCAGTTTAATCACGTGCATTACCAATAAACTGATACAATGTCGAGCAAAAGAGCATTCGGTTGGCAATCAACTTTTTTGAGCTTGAATATTCATTCAAATATTTTATTAAATTCTTAATATTCATACTCATCGAAGGTCTTACATAAGATAAAAAAGCTGAGAATTATGAAACTGCCTTAGAATCGAAGTAAATGCTTAAATTTCTTTATGTCCGCATGTTGTACATTTATTCTTTGCTAAAAGTCTGTTTGTTATTATTCTGTTTAAGCGCTCACGCATTTGAGTGGTATACGCTGAGTGATCGAAATGAGTGGAAAAAAAAGAGCACATCTGAGCGATGATGAACCACGAGCATTAAACAAACACAATATTCGATTCGAAATTCCAGTTAGTGAGTGAATATTTATAAAAATTCACAGATCTCTTTAGATTGGATACATTTATACACGAATGATTGAAGTAGTATAGTAAGTCAGTGATGATGAATAACTATAACCTCCTGTCTTTAGTAACCATAACGGAACCTGAAGAATCTTTAACCGATTTATCACCAACATGTGAGAATTTATCTGAAAAATTCAATAAATGTTTAGACACAGGTTAATTTATCTCTCCTGCAAAAAAAAAGCTATTATTAATAAGTTATTGTGCTTTCTTACTCGAGCAGACATGGCAGCTGCTAAGCGTTGGAGTTTAAAATCATGCGATTCATCTTCGCCAGATATGTCAATAGATCGATGCCATCGTACATTTAGAAGAAGAACAGTATCAAGTAGTAGTGAACATGCTAACACGTCACATGATGAACAAATGTTTATGAATCGAACAAAACAACGTAATGATCCCAAAACTGAAAGCTGAGGAGAAATAAAATACTTTCTGTTGAACAAATATAAGTGATCATTCTTGTATTAAATATAATGTGTTTTTTTCTTATTAGTTTTGACTGTACCGATAACAACTAATCGTCACAAATATACAAGATCTGTATCTTCGTCAGGTACCAATAAACACAATATATTGGGTAAAACTTGTATGAACATGGTTTTTATAAGATTAATGAATAGCTTCTTTTAGATCTACCAGGAGATAAATGGACTGACGATTTTTCAACTAGTGACGACGAGTATCAAGTGCTATGTAAGTTGTAGTTAAAAATCAGAGACATTTTCTTTATTGTCTTTATTTAGGTAGCCATCGTAATGCATCGCGATATAATCTAGAAATAATTTTAAATGTTACGTGCACTAATGCTGAACAAAAAATTTTACAACAGAAACAACTTTCAGCGAATCTTCATCAAATATCGCTCATGGTACAGTATAGATTGTCACCTCACAGATATGTTAAAAATTGTTATATGATAGGTGTCTGATATGCAGAACGATGGATCAGTAGACAAATTTATTGAAGTGGCAGTTCTTACCGTACCTATTGATAATCAGTATTATTCATCATCTTATCTGATCAGTACTGTTGACAACAAAAACATTCGTGGTAATACAACATATCTACCAATTATCGGAAATAAATTTGAGGATCGGTGGGTTGATGAACTCAATATTTAGGGTATTAGTGATGATGTTAGTTCAACAACTTTGATTTAGATCCTATCGATTTCTAGTCAAATATAATCAAGACATGTTGAAAAGTATTGGAAATTTAACACCGTTTAGATTTAATAAAGAAAATGTAGAAGAAATTAACAATGAAAGTTATGGTAAGAATTGTGATATTCTATCTCTTTATGGTATTCTGGTGTGCTTATTACGGTTTGTCGAAGAATACATTATGCTTCACTAATTCATGCATATGTATTACACAAGGTCACAAAATTGAGTTTATTAGAGATGTGCGACTTTATCAAAGAGAACAGTATATGTCAGAGCTGAACGGGTATATGATATTTATGTGCATAGTTGAATAAGTTTATTTATTTGATTATATTTTATCATAGTAAAAGTAAACGTCGTTATGCAACGATGGTCCAAGCTTCAGACTCGCACAACTCAGGACCAGCTCAGTATCCAGTAATCCGAGTAAGGTTTATGACCAGAAAACGATGAAAGATGTCATTTACTTTGATAGAGAATGTACCTTCTGTATGATTATCCAGTAACTAAAATAAAAAAATTAACATGACATCTGTTTTCCAACAAAGACTAGTCGATAACATTTTTGAGAGAGAGTTATTATGTTTTTTCAACAGATTTCACAGAAATATCAAACAATGATTACGCAAGAAGAATATGTGGTGCTCTATGTAGCTATTATGATTAAAGTTAATGACATACCCTACTTTCATCCAACAAAAGGATTTTTAGACAGTACCAAAGATACGATGCAGTTAAAAAATCCAATAAGAATCTTACTGACAAAAGAAAATGTTAAAAAAGATGGGATAATAGAGTAAGTTTACTGTTAGCCAATATTCTTTTCGAAGATTAATAAAATTTCATGTTTAGACTGAAAATGGCAATTATGAATCCCGGAGCATCAAACACGACTCAAAGATCATTTTTGCCATTTGATACAACTTTTAGCCATACAACATCGCATAAACACGCGCATGATATTTATCAACACCATTCTCCCAGTATGAGTTCAGATGAAGAATTTAATGTGTTTAAGACTAATGATCCAGTTTCAAAACAGGATCTTAGTGATTATTATCTAGCATGTGCCATTAGTCATAACGGTAAAATAGACTGGGAAACATTAAGTTTTTCTAGCAAAATGACAAAACGTTTGTATAATCCAGCATGCTACAAAGTCAAATAAATAAAAAATGCTATCATTTTTAGCTATAAAATACAATGAAAATCGACTATTTCAAAGATATCAATTAGATAGACTACACTTTGCATTAACATTATGCACTCGATTAGACGAAAACGCCAGTTATCACCGACATACAGAGACAACAGTTATTTCAGAGCAGATAATATGTGCAGGTTACTACCATTTAATTCTTGAAAAAAAAATTTTCAGACAGACTTTCATTCTTGTTCTTGGTTGCAGTATAACCAGAATATGCGAGACTATATACTTATTAAGTACTATATACTGCATAGTGGGCATATAGGCGGACATTTGGTCGAAAATCGAAAGTGAGCTTTTCTGTAATTTAAATAGTATCAAATATATAGCGTTAAATGCGCTATCGAATGGAGTAAAAAATTTTATTCTGTGACTTTTCCTTATGGAATTATTCGGAAAAGTAAACACGGTGACATAAGAAAAACGCTAGAAAAACAGACGCGTACATTATAATCAAAGCGCGCGAGTTAGCGAAGGTGCAATCTTACTTATTTTTTCACCAAAATGTCCCTTAGTATATCCTGTATCTGTTATGTACTCACAAAATCTCACAATTTTTTCTGCCGATAGTTACAGGTTTTGTAAAAAGTCTTTGTTTTTCAGGTAATTTGGACTTTTCTACCCTTACATGTTACTTTACTTGAATGATTTCTATAGATTCAGATTCCGCGTGAAAAACTACATCAAGCGATGTATCACTTATTGGTTTTACAAATAAAAACTGTTTGACAAAAAATTCAGAGCTAGGGTCCATCTGAGAGATTTTTCATCGGAAATGACTTTTTTTCAAATTTGATTTTTCTTACTTCTGTTAAAATTTGACATATAATAAGACAATATTATGCGAAAATAATCATTTTAACTCATAAAACTAGATGTCCGCCTGCTCTATGGGAAAATGCTCAGTGTAAATTGTTACGTAATAATTATACTTTTTTCTTTTATTAAGAGAATACAATAGTAGATGAAGGCGATGATAATAAAACAAATGTATTAGGTAACGGAAATGCTGCTAGATACCTTATTTTCAACTTCAACATTCCCGATTTCGCTCATTAGACAAGTTAGTAGAGAGACACATGTTGGATCCTGTTTCTATATCCATACAACCGGCAACTTATCAACGATCTAGAGCGAATGCAGAACAAAAAAAACAGCCGCATTATATCCAGGGCTGTAATGAAAATTCGAGACCAACTACGGAAGTAAGTAACTACACAATAAGCATGTAAATAGACAAATAATGAGAATTATGGTAAAGATTCGTCCATCATGGTCACAATTAATGATGGATGTTAGTATTGTAAGAAGCAATAAAGAAGAGCAATGTTCCTACAAATTATATCCATCCAGAATGGACGAAAAAAACAAATTGGTTATTGTCAATCATCAGACAGGTTCATTACTATTTAAGATAACAAAAGAAGATATTTATAATGGATCAAAATCGTATGTAGAGATACAATACAATATACAGGCTAGCGACCATATGCTTTTTTTGTTTAGATATAAACTAGCAAAAGTCTCACAATTTAAAAGATCCCGAAACCAAATCGACGAGTTACGATTATGCTTTATTCTTCGAAGAAAACTTGCCGAAGGATTGTATGTGCCTGTTAGTATACCGGTATATTCTGATATTATTAGAGACAGTACGTAAGAAAAAATCTTCCTTTTAGGAAAGAATTTGGAAACACATACTTGTTTTGTAGGTTATGGTCCATTAAAGTTAAAATCTGTTTCTACAAAATACGGATGTTGTTATGGCGGTGAATGGATGAAAATTGAATTTACTAGTGGACGCGTTCGAAAAAACGGTAAATAATAAGAACGTATTGTAGCTATTGTACTTGCACACATTGTTGCTGTTTTTAGCTTTAAAGTTTAGATTTCAACAAGAAGACAAGTGGATATATGAAATAAAAAAATTTAGGGCAATCAAGAATGGTATTGGTGTAGAATTTGAAATACCGCAATATCGACGATTTATAACAGAAAAAACACCCGTTGATATTGTCATTTCACGATCGAATGAAGAAGATATTCATTACACGTTTACTTATGTACCGCACGAGGGTGAGAAAAAAGAAAGTTTTTAGTACTAGGTATTATAATCTTTTCTGAACCATGATCATTGTACTGTTGTGCTCTGCACAAAAGAGCATATTACATCGAACTTTCTGGTATATATTATATTCATTTCCTTTTTATCTTCCCTTTGACTTATTAGAACTGGATCCTGATCATCGATGCTATTCAGTTATGGGGCCTAATCTAAAAGACAGGTGTAAGGTAAAGTGTAGAACTGTAATATAACGGATGACACACAAATAAAGACACGTTTTTATTTTCTAGTTGTGAGGCACTATATCAAGCTTGAAGAACTCACTAGGCTCGGAAGACAGAAGTTTCTGCTCTATCTATCCAATGTTTTTGTGTTGGCTGATAATTTGAAAAATTAGCGCAGGCTAAATGTAGGAGAAGAAGCATGACTGCGACGGAAGAAAGGGTTTGTGGTGCTGTTGAGAACTCGACCTAATGAATAATTAATAACGTTTCTATTAGTTGTTGACCACTGGTACTGTGTGTAAAGAATTCGACTCCGTTAAAGGGCACGCTCTTTTCCGAGTTCAAAATTAAAAAAGCTTTCAAAACTGTGTTTGACATGTCTCTGTATAGAACTGAACATCCTCTTCAAAACAGGAGCTAACCAGACTCACAAAAATGATCCTGTTGCGATTATAAATTTTTCAAGTTTTTTTATTCTAACTATCTGTTTCTCAATTTTTCCCTTCAAGAAGCAAGAGATAGGGAATTTTGCAAGATCTACAAGATTCAGTATGTTATTATTCACATTGTATGGTTTAACTCATTCTTTGCTGCTTTTACTCCAAATAACTGCCAGCTGTGAAATATCGGATTTTTCTGAAGTACTGGAACTTTTTATAGTTTCGATGCCGTATGAACAATCGGTCTAGCAAAACACATAACTCTAAATTTGCTGAATATTTTTGTATCTACCCTCTTCAGTCAGTTTTCACAGCATTCTGCAATAAGAATGAATCGGGAAAAGAGCCACTAAAACTTTGATTGTTCGCCGCAGTCATGCTCCTTCTCCTACAGTCATTCTGTGTAATTTTTCAAATCATCAACCAGCGCATAAACATCGAATAAAAGGATAAACATCGAATGTTACAGAGCAGAAAATTCTGTCTTCTGGGCCTAGTTCTCAATTCTTCAAGTTTTATATAGTGTCTCACAACTAGAAAACAAAAATGTGTCTTTGTTACACGTTGTCCAAATGTGATTAAAATATTTTAGAGATATCTTCAAAAAACTTTTAGAGAAAGTAGTGCTACTATATCTGAAACAAATCTTGGTGAAATGAACGCGGGTGAGCCGAATCTTGACAACGACAAAAACTTCACTTTTATTTTAATTTTTTACTTTTAGAAAAGAAAAGTGTGTCTGAAGTGACATTACTGCATATGAAAGCTCTTACAACAGCTTGTCCATCGGTATATCACTAATATTTTTTTACTCAGGCAGATCAGAAAACGAAAAAACATTTTTCTTTTTAGATCAAATAAATTATATAACTCTCTAAAAAAGAAACTTGAGAATGTTAATCTCCTAAATATTCTTGCAATAGGCTTCTAGAAAACCTTATTAACAATAAAAGCTTGCAAATTCGTTCAAGTGACGAAAAGTGACTGTAAAAAGATATACTATCCGCCCGCTGAAACAGTATGCTCAGTTATGTTTTGCATAACTTTTGACTAAGGACAGATGAAGTTACCGTGTCGTCATTTGATAGCTAAGTACGTGCGATCGTCTTTTCACATGAAAGCAGTTTCTGAAAATCTTATTTCGAATCAGATTTCTAGAGGATCTGTAGAAAGTAAAACTGATATTGTTAACGGTAAATTTTTATCACTAAATAGTAGACAAGCAGATGGATAGTTCCCAGCGGTTTGGGTGCAGTGTTGGAATTTCTATGAGTCTCAAGACTGCGACTTAAATGCTTTGGAATCCTATGAAACACACGTTCTGAACCAAGCTAAATCTCGTCTTCGGAAAAGAGCTCTAATACTTTTTCTATTGAATAACTCGCCTAAAGTTTTTCTCAACAAAATCCTGAACGAAAAAGCTCTTTCTAACTAATACTGAAAGATGATAAACAATACCTTATTCGACCTAGTTTTTCACATAGACGATGAATATGGTATGTAATTTTATGAAAGAAAGCCTTTTGATGAAATCATACGGCAAATGTGTCCTATTTGACGCTTTTGATATTTTAAGATATTTTTTTCTGCTAAAAAGGGCCATATGCACAAAGAATATATGAATAGAATGTATGGTTATTCTGACAACTGAGTTGGTCATCTGTGAATGCCATAATCAACATCTTTCTTTAGCCAGATTCTGATTACGGGTCATATTTTACATTTATCCAAGCGGTTTTTGAACCATTCCAGGCTTAACAGTTACTGGCTACTATACGGATAACTAACAGATATCAGAAAAGAAATTTGTTTTTGATGATGAAAGATTGCCGTGATAATCTAAAAGCACACTTCCACTCAGCACAATCAACCCCATACTCTGAGCAGCTTATGCCATCCACTTTGGAGAAAAGGTGGGATTGATGTTCCAGGATCGCTCGCAGGCACCAAAGGAATGAAAGTTTAAATCTCGAAATTACAATACAACAGTCATTCTATCCATGTCTATATCAAACAAACGCGAAAACATTAGGAGATGGATGTTGAACTGAACGCTCCTCACTTTAAACTATTCATCAGTAATTAGCTCACAATATCAAGAGGGAGAAGTAAACTGAAGAACAAAAACTCCGTATCTTAAATCAGGTCAATTTCAGATTCCACTATTATTTCGATTGGAAGGGGCGGCTTCTTCATTTTTTGTCCGATAGGAACGTTCAATCAAGAAATCAAGAAAAGTCTTGTGTTACAAATTTGCAACTCAAATCTGAATTGAAAAATGTGTTTCTCCTCGGCGACTAACATGTACTTTTGTGATGCGAATCACGATTAACTTATCTATTATGAGATCGAATTGACAGGTTTACGAATAGATCCGGACTGTTCCGCTCTATTAATCAACAACTGCTTTCATCCGTCGGCTATACATAATATCGAAACGCGCTTTGAAAATTGAAAATAGAATCCCGCTGGACATCAATCCAATCGAACACCAAATATTGATTGCTAATCAGACTTGGGCTAATTCATGTTTATCTTCAACGTTCGAAACAGCCATTTGTAAAAGACATGCTATGTAAAAACTGTGTAATAGACAAGGTTATTCTGTCTAGCAGTATCACTCATGTTCTTTCCTGTCTGTTTGCCGTCGAAACCTTGATCAAAATAACTCTCGTATGTTGGTCAGTGAACACTCAGAGGAAAAGACACCAGGTTTTCAGAAACTCTAAAGAATAACCCAAATTTTTCTTAATGAGTCACGATTGTAGTTTGCACATTTCAGAGTAAAATGAGACGTTTCCCCACTCTACACGGCATTTCTTTACAAAGTTATAGAATTAGCAAGAAAAGCCCTAAATTACTTTCTTCTTATTTCTGTAGCTTGAGCTGACAATAAACCTCTAGGGCTTTTCTTATAAATTCTATAATTTTGCAAAAAAAAGGTTGTGTAGAGTTGGGAGACATCTCATTTTACTAAGAAATGTGCGGGCTACAATTGTGACTCAAAAAAATTTGGGTTATTTTTTAGAATCTCTGAAAAACTGCTGTTCCAGAAAAACGGTCTGCGGAGACCTTTCAGCGCGTCTCATACTGATATTCGAAATCAGCATGGTTGACTACCTGTAGTCCACTAGGTTTCGGCTCGAAAGTGATATATGAAGAAGAAAATGACAGCAAAACGTTACCATTTCTTGACGTTCTGATAAGAAGATCTGACTCAGATTTTCAAAAAAAACAGTATAGGTAGCCAACGTACGTCGGTTGAATAGCTAAATGTTCGAGCTTTGTGCCATATAAAAGGCATGCAATATCACCCAAAAAGCGAGTTTTCCGACTTTCGAAATTTCAATAAACTAAATGTTTTTCAATATTAGATTTCGAGGAACACTTGAAAAATAGCCTGTTTTGTTCAGTTTTTTCCACACTTTCGAGTGATATATGATTCAAAATTATAAAGCTCAGAACGAAAAAGAAAAATTAAAATACAAAAACATGCGATTTCTGAGAATTTTTCACAGGGCTTCGTAAAAATTTCATAAATCGGTAAGAAAACGTTTCTCAGGCTTCAAAATTTGGATTTCTGGGTCATTTTCAACGGAGAACTGAATGAACATGCTTAGAGATAAAAGTAATTTTTCACTTGATATATCATTCATCTACGTACACTCGTTTTTTGTACGGACTGTCTCTTAAGTACTCAAACGAACTAAGAACTCGATAAAGCCTTAGAAAGATCTCCAGAAATGTGCTTCAACTGATACAGCTTAAGCCACTTCCTTAGTCAGCGAAGAGCAATTAAAACATAATTGTTCCTTTATTTAAAAGTATATTTCGAGTACTTTCGACATGAACATCGAATTCAGTATGCAGCTTTACATTGGAGTTGTAATCGTAAACTCGTATCATATCACCTTCAGAAAGCTGAAAAAGTCCATTTTGCTTTGCTGAAAATTTACCTATGCAAAAAGGCCCAAATCGGGTGTTTGCAAATCCTCCTCATAATCTGCACAACAGTTTGAAATCTTTCGACGACACCACGAGAAAGTGCTAGCGTTTTACTATATACTCCATAAAAGTTCAAGGTTCGCTACTGGTTTATATTGGCAAAAGTTTAGTGTTACTGGGTCCTCAAAACACAAAAAAGTTGAGATTTGGCGTTCTATGATGTCGATATCTGCAAACTTTTTTTTTCAGTGACTACATGAAAGATATATTTCCTGGAAAGGAAATGGTTCTTTTATATAACAATGCATTAGCTTGACAGACGTTGCAGCGTTTCAGGTCTCATGATTTAACACGAACAATATTGAATTCTTAAGTTGAACATAACACCATCAAACCAGAGGCAAGCAAGCATTAAGCCGTCTTGA